CCGTCCAGGCTTCGTAAAGTTTAAATGACTCTCCATGTGGTCAAGTTTCACCCGACATCCAATCTGTAGGTGTCCTGGCTGCTTACATCTATAATAATAGACAGTATCATTGTTGTTTCCCTTAGCTCCCTGGGATAGTTCTTGTTGATCTTGATTAAATGTATCCTCACGTTGCTGTACAGGTGTTCTATTGTTTTTTCCATCCTCTGTTGTTCCAGAATCCTCTCTGATTTCCTCTTTCTCTGAAATTATTCCCTCTGTATTGCTGATGTTGGGTCTCTAAGTTCGTCACTTTTTGTGTCAGTTGTTTGACCGTACCCTTAAGCTCTGCAATGTCACCATCTGCTGTAATGGCTGCTTTGGCTATCTGCGACTTTGTTGGCTTCTTATGGTCTTTCTCCAGCTGTCGCAACGCAATACGCAGTTTATTGAAATCTCTGTGTCGTACTTATGGCCACTAATATCCTTCAATTCGTCTCTCAGTCCCATCCACAACATTCCATGTAACATACCATTCACTTCTGAATTCTTAGCAACTCCCTTCTCTAAACCTCTTCCTATAATGTCCTCTAATCTTCCACTCCATGCTGACACGTCTTCATCCTCTCTCTGCTTCGCACTGTAAAAATCGGCTAACAGTTGTTCCTTATTCGCCACACTACCATAAACACTGTCAAGAGTTTCTAAAACTTCCCTCAACGGTTTGTCCAGTCCTTGGTAAATTAGCATTCTAGCTGCAGATCCTGTCAATGAACGACGAATGGCAAACTCTTTCTGTTCCTTCGTGTAACCAGGATCTTTCATCACCATTTTCACTTCATAACGCCAAATTTCATACGCCACTTCACATTTCCTGTCACCACCGGAAAATGTTCTTATCTTAGGAGGATAAGGCAAACAAAGTCACTGTTTTCGTCTTAGGGATTGTTTCCATTCCTTCTGGTGGTAGAGTGAGTGGAGGAACTTTGGATTTCACATCTGGTTTGGTATCCTTCGATTGAGCAATGTACTCATTGATCTATTTGTCTAGTTCAGCTGGGTTGTCTCCCTTGGTATGGAGTTCCATGGCCTTAAATGTTTTGTACATCTGGTCGTAGACAATCTTATCCACAGGTTGTGAAGTAGTAGTAGGACTTGTAGGCTGCGTTGTAATAGGACTTGTAGGCTGCGTTGTAATAGTGTCCTTTTTCTCCACCATGATGATCTCTGTATAATGATACAAGTCTCAAAATGAAAATCAATCAAATATTTACAACAAAAATAATCACAAACTATTGACAAAGTACAAAGCATAATTTATTATCTTCCATAATCTTGGATGATGATTAAGAAATCATATGTAATGACAAAAACCAATTTGCTGACCTATTCCACAATTCTAATCTTCAGTTAATGGAATAATCAGCTTCTCGTCAAGTAGCCGTAAGCAAAATTAACACGAAAGAAAAAAAAATTGAAAAACACAAAACTCTACATCAACGATCCACTATTACTACTATGTGCACGATACAGGAATAGTCTTATGTACTAAGTTTTTGATTCTAGAATATAATTTCTCATTACATAATAGATCTGGTCACTCTGGACAGGCTGAATATAAACACAAACTCTAAACCTTCAAACTCAAATGCGACCACAAAAATAAAATATAAATCCTCACCAAATGCAATCAAATATACCAATCAAAAAAACTTCCACTCACCTAGATAATAACCTGATCACTATCAACTAAACTAACTGATTTCACAAACCTTTAAGTATTTCTTCACAGAATTACAAGAAAGTAAAAGAAGTATGGGATGTGCAAAGGTAGAGTTAAACAGAAAGACTGTTAATGCAGAAAAACATGCAACTACATATTCACCGACTAGTTCACTTCTCAATCACAATTTAATTCTAAATTATCTTAAGTTATTTATGTCAAATTATCTAAACTGAAATTGAAATATCAAATAAATATTTAAATAACTTTAAATTAAATGGGATGTATGTATACTTTCAAATTAATTTGGAAAAAAAAATTAATTCCTAAATTAAAAAAAAAATAATGCACAACCTGAAAATAATATGTAAACAAAAGAAAATAAAGTGTTTCAAGATTTGTTTACACTAACTACCCTCACTTCCAGATCCGGTAACCTTGACCTTATATCAAATGTATGTCTGTATGTGTATCTAAGTATAAGTACCAACGACAGACACAAGTGATAAATGTAAATAAACAAAAATAAAAAAAAATTCAAATCAATGAATAAGAAACACAAATACTGCTGAAATCCCTGAAAAAAAAATAATCAAAATTTGTTTCGTAAAGAGTCAGAAATATTCACTTTCACTCAGTGAAACTGTAAACAAATCAAGTCGAGTACTCTCACTACTGTAAATAAATGTTTAAGAAATGTTTCATACAGCTGCACAAACGGATATAATTGTCCGCGAACAACAGTGTAACGTGCAACGCGGCCGCGCTTTGTGTTAGTGATATGTCTTGTATCACCGAGGCGTTACACTTAGGTTCGTTAACCTGTTAACTCAGATTTTTGTTGACCAAATAAAATATATACAAATACAATACAATGGGTTTCTTCATGATTGGAGTGGACAACCACTAACTGTGGTCAACGGGTGTCTCCCGCAAATGAATTACTTCGGTCCTGCCACTCTAAACGTACTGCTGCATCTTGGCACTTCCCCCACTTCTGTGGTATGCCACCTCTCTCTCTCCATCAGCCTACTGCCTTATTCAGGTCTTACGTATTAGCTACTATTGGTGACCCCTCACTGCATATTCCCCGAAACTGTGTGCCTTATTCAAGTCTTATCACATGTTCAAGAGAATAGACAGTCAAGCCTCAACAAGCTTGTTACCAGAGAGGTATCCTGAGATTCTGTAACACGGCATGTCTTACCTCAGTGCAGTCAGTCCCAGTACATAGGCAGCTACAAACTACTTAAATGATTGTAAAATTAATATTTTTTTAGTGTTTAAGAAATTGGACGAAAACATAGGTCGAACGTTTTATATGAAACTAAATCACAAAACCAATTACAGTTTCAACAGGAACAAGTCAACTTCTAAAGAAATATAATTGCTGTAGAATGAAACAAGTCAAAAAGTTTTATTTTCAAACCTCAATCAGCTGTCCAGTGGAAAATTTGTAGTTTTTCACGTGAACCAAATCACAACCGGAAGTAAACACAGATAAGGAAGTCGTGGAATTAATTTTCACTGTGGAACTGATGTTTCCGGAAATGAAAAATGGGCGTTGTCACACCAAGTAATCACAATTTCGGTTGGGCGCCTTTGAAACCCGGTGGAAATAAGCAACAAATACAATCCATCTGGTTTATAATACGTGGGTTTATTGTGATGGTAGACTTTTGCCCATTATGGCAAAGATGACATATACTCGTAGATGACCCTGTAAATATGTATTAAAAATATAAACACAAGAACAATAACTCTGCATGCAAATTTTTGACAAGCAAAGCAGTCATGACATGAAATTAAACCAAAATTTCCAAAATTAATTATTATCCTTTCAAACAACAATGTTTGTCATAAACTCATTATAAATAAGCTTAGCATATTCAAAGTTTCTGACGAACACAAACTAGGTTAATTTCAAATAACTGATAACTTCATGCAATTAAAACTCTCAAATTACATGAATTGAACAAATAAAGAAAAATGAGTTTAAATACTTTCAAAAACACAACGTTATTCATTAATATTTAAAAATAACGCTGTATTCATTTTTACACCAACACACAATTAACCTTACCTCCCATGAGGTTCAAAGGTCTGCTATATACAAAACTCAGCTGTCTCAATAATATGGTGCGTGTTCTAAATGTAAAAAAATGATATGTTGATCAATGTAGGGAATTATCTATAAAAATGAATACTTTAGGAATTTGTATACTTCAAAACTTTATAACTTTAAAAACTCTCATTTTCTCCATTCTAATTTTAGCAAATTATTTAGAAATAAAATAAACTCTATTTAATTCTGTTATATCTACATAACTTATTTACAGCTTTCATTCAAAAATTCACAAACGACATTCACTCCCTCATACTCAGCCTAACATTCAAGCATTCACACAATTAGATAAAGTAGGGAAAATAAAGAAAGAAATATGAAAACTTAAATTAAACACAAACTAGTAATGGAATAAACTCAGTCCACACTTATTATAAACCTGAGGATATCAAGTACTGATCAAGGAAAACTTCTAAAATGTATCAGAACATACACACCCATCTGAACGCTTGGGCATGAAAAACAAGAATAGAATTCCCTCTTACAGAATGACCACTTCTACTAGATCTATAAATAGCTACAAAGTTACAGGTTAATCCAAAAGAAAGATAGCTAAATACCTTACCTGTAAGACTTCATAAATAATAAAATAATAAAACACATATTTTAATTTATAGTTTGAATGAAATAAATCTTTATTTACATACTTCAATTTAAACTCTGAAAACAATAATTAAATCAACGAAAATTCCTGAAAAATAAATTTATTAAAAACATATAAAATTTCACTGTATTACACAATTATTAAAACTGGAATTTTCCATGGATTTAGATGACTGGAATCCGAAATTAGGGGATTGATGGATAAAGTTGTTTTAGCTGGTCGTCAAGGGGGTGTGTCCCCATACCAAAACAGATTATACAAAATAATTTGCGTTCCTTTTTGGAAATCAGCCAATGAAAGTTTTGAATTGCTTAATCTGATTAAAATCAGATCCTTTGATCCGCTCACATAGATCGCTCAAAGGATATGATTTTAAACAGATTGTGAAATGTTGCATGTTCAAATACTAGTAGTAAAATTCCTTGATTAACAAGTGTATTAATATAATATAGAGCATCAATGAATACAAATATCCACCACGAAATAAAATTGAATCCCTAAAACGCAAAGAATGGCTAGTGAACATATTTTAACTGTCTTTTATGATTATTTTTTTTTCAAAGGTCTAAACGAAACCGTTCCTTCAGTAGATGTAGAATTTGATGGTTTTCTTTGGACAGAAGAAAACACAACCGACGGAACAGAACACGACTCTGCCATCAGGTTCCTTTGCAAGTTTTCATTATTACGATATCAAAGCCTCTACTACCGTATTATATGGTATTTGGACGACATTGAAGTCGACTTAAACCAAGTAGTCTCAGAATCCACAAAACGGAATGCGACTATAACAGCATACGAAATTCTAGAAAAGGGGAAAAAACTGGGAACAATGGTATTTCTTTATATAAGTAGAAAAATTAGAGAAAGAGAAGTGTAGTTATAACGATAGAGCTTTATATATTTTCTTAAACATTTGTAGATACAATGCAGAGTAGGGGCTATGCTTCAAGAGGATGTAAAAGGATGCACGACAAAAGCCAGTTCATTTTTTTTTGCAGGGATTAAGGTTTTTTGTTTTTTTCTCATACACTTTTCTTTTTTATTACTAGCTATTATTTAACTGTAAATGAGAAAAATACTTTTTGTATCGGAATGAAGTCTTTATTACAAAACAAAACTGCAATATACTCTGCAAGCGATTATATAATCTAGTACATTAAAAATCCAACCCACCAACAAAGCATAGAAAATAAATACGAAAAATCTTGTTTCTGTTTCTCACATCTCCACAAAATCACTGGAAGCCTTTCTTGCCCCGAAGCTTCTGAGAGAAGCCAGTCCGTAAAATAAATGAAGAACAACCTGTGTTGATCCAGATTCACTGATTTTGTGAAGCTGCATTATGTAGTGAATCAAACTTCACCCATAAGTACTTTAGAGTAATTAAGGCTCCTTTTTATTTTTATTGCTAGGTGCTTACTCCAAAAGTCACTTTATCTACAGAAACAGTTTCAATAATAAAGCTTCAATCCAACGTTCCCTTTGCTGATTCTTTTGTCTTATATGGACAGACGCCATTTGAAAGAAGTCTGAGTATATATTTGTCAAATCCAAGCGATACCGATTCTACCTGCAAGGGGCGGTCTACAAATTATTATAAATGTGAGCAGTTAATTCCTTCCTTAAGTTTTCCTCGTCGTTTTGAAAATGATGGTAAGCACATTGACTGGAATAAAACTATAGAGTTTCAAGTGACAGTCAAGAAAAGCATTCAATATGGTTTTCCACCAAGCGAAGTCACTCTTCGTTTAAAGACTGGAGACGTTCATGGCCATGGAAGCAAATTCTTTGAAAATGTATTTCTGCGAGATGTTTTGGTAATATAGAAAAATAAATATTTTTCTGACATTATGAAATTAAACTTTATAAAAGATTTGTTATTCTCAGTTTTCAACAGTCCTTCCACCAAACGTGTGTATACTTCATACATATTTTTCTTGAAGGTACAACTCATCGATGAGGATCCAAAGGCGCTGCCCTCCTGCCATTCTGTCACTGATCCTCATATGATGTCCTTTGACAAAGTGTGAGTGAAATTATAAATTGGTATTTCAAAGTTTCATCGCTCAGCTTAATCAGCTAATGAGATCAAAACATGGGAATAACTTGTAAAGATACAAAGCGGTATGTAAAATGATAATTCGGGTATTTTGATTATTGATTTTTTGATTATCACACACACACACACAACCTCACACCCTCTCTCTCACACACATACACCCTCCCTCACACACCCCCTGTCTTTCTCACACACACTCACCCTCACATACGTGGAAGGTGTCAAAAGGGGACAGGGGTTAAAGACTGTCAAAGTCGGGACTTCTTCATTTTTATCATTTTATTTTAAACTTTTGACCAAAAGTATTACTTATCATATAACCCTGCTGACAAATATAATGAGAATATATAACAATCTTTACATTATAGGCATTTAAGCACATTTTACAGTAAAACGGAGACTATTTCACACTCATTAATATTCACACACCAGTGCTTGATTTATTGTATCTTGACGGGAACATTTTCAAAAAAGAATATAATATACCCTCTTTTATGATTTTTCATTTACTTATTACCATCATTCTCAACGCTGATTATAGGATCCTTGTTTTCATAAGCACTTGAATGTTTTATATTTTATTTCAAATCTGGAGACAACGAACAGTAATGAGGCCTAGAAGTCCATTGAAACAATACAAATCGCAAGCAAAGGAAACACATAGTTACCTTTAAAACACCAGAAATGGGATCAGGGGTCATGGAGAAGCATCCACGGCCACCCCAAACTCACTACTTTATGTCATGAGTCGGGAAAACGTTAAAATTCGTTAACCTAAGTTAGAGACCTAACTGTGAGAAAATGACAAAGTTGACAAAGAAAAATAGGTGATCGTGTTAGAGAGTTTAATGGCATAAATTCGTCAAGTGTTTTAATCAGATTTGTGGGACCTTTCCGTCGACTTTCAGTGACCATTCTGCATTCTTTCAGTGATATTCTAGTCTCAATGTAGCGATTTTTTTCACTGGCTTATTAATTTATAATCAGATATTTTTCCTTAACAATGAAGCCATATTTTGAATAAAGATTTATTATTCAATCTTAATTGTGTTTTTCATTCTCATGGTTATTAAATTGTGGTACGTAAAAATGTTTCTAAATAATTATTACAATTCTATAAAAAAAAAAAATGATACTAATTCAAAATGATTTATAATTTTCTAATTTGTTGTAGAAAACAAAAAGTTTTGAAGTGATAAATAAAATGATAATTGAATCAAAATTTAAATAAATGCCGTATAACACATTCTATAGTGCTTATACGTGTATTTTTCATGGAAATAAGTAGATTTGAATTTATACTATTTACTACTTTTTATTAATTTCGTTTCTTAATTGTCTAAACCGCCAGGATATGTTAGCTTTCGAAAGACATCCTTTTAAAATTTTAAAATCATTTTACATGGATAGAAAAAAATTATTTATACATGCCTTTTGTTGAAAAAAAAATATTGTAGATTAATGCTTTTTTAAATGATATTGTTGTAAAATTATTCTACTAAGTTTCTAGATAGAGAATTTACATCTATCTCGAATCTATCTCGAATCTCTGTACAGGAACAGGTCCCCGTCGCTGATAATTGTCATCAATTGTTGTAAAATTATTCTACTAAGTTTCTAGATAGAGAATTTACATCTATCTCGAATCTCTGTCACAGGAACAGGTGCCCGTCGCTGATAATTGTCATCATCCCGATAGGAGTTGTGTAATTAATTAATCAGTCTGTCCCCAGAATCCGCGCAACTAACATAGAATATACAATAGATATACAAGATATACACATCGCAGCTCCTCGATACACCAGGTGAATCGATCGTTCGATCGATTTCTACAATTTGATTGATTTTAAATCCTTAAAAAACAACAAGAAGTCGTAGCATAATTGATAAGGTCGCGGACACTCACGCAGGAGACAAGGGTTCAATTCCGGCCGTGTATCTATATATCTATATATTGAAAATGCATGAATTAATCCTTTTAACATATTTTACGTGTTTCCTGGGTATTACTGTATGCCAATGATCTTAGTATATATTTATGAAGAAGAAAGCTGCTTCTTCCAAAAATGGTTAATTCCCTGGCCCCAGAGACAAATGTACTTGGGAGGGGGGGGAGGGGGGGTACATAGTCTGAAAATAATTTAATGCATTGAAATCTGCACTTTGATATTAATCAACAATATGATGAAAAAAATTATAAAAATTTACAAAATTTTGAAGATGTGGCCTCAGGGTCAGTGGTTCCAAAGAGAAAGCATTTTCTCTTTGGTACTCTGAGATACCCCTGGGTATTAAGTAACCAAAGTAAGCATGCTGAGTGTATAATAATGATAAGCAATGGTGCCTCTTTCAAAATTGTGAATTTCATGGCATTTGATTTGAAACATGAATCAGTTTCAATTGTTGGAAAGTTGTTGCATGGTAAATAGGTGACCTATAAGGTCCATGGGCCTCTTATTTTAATACAGGACATGTTTTACAGTTTGTATTTCAAACAGTGGAGAGCTTGTTAAAAGACCGAAAATCCAGCCGTATCATGTCAATAAAAATCTTAAATGAATGTCTATGATAGTATAACCGGACATATACCGTGCTCGTAAACAAATCATACAATGACTAATACAATTGCTGATAATCAGTATCATAGCCCTACTCTTTCTCTTTGACGTCATTTTCGGAGTTATTACGTCCTAAAACTTAAAATGTGACGTCACAATATATGTATATATTTTTTTTTTTTATCTTTCCAATGATATCAAACACACCAATTTCCGTAAAATGGTTATTTTTTTATTAAACAGTTGCAAGAACTTTTGAAATGCCCCTCGTAAAAGCATAACATTTAATTTGATAAAAATGAGACGGCATTGGAATTATTACATTTAATTTATGATAGATTGTTTTTCCTGACAAATGCATTATATTGACCATAGAATTTGCGAAATATATACGTGTTATCCTTTGAATTGAACCTTATAATAATTTCGATACAGGCCACTTTACATGCATGGGCAATTCTGATGCAAATGAGTACATCCTGTACAAAAAAAAACAAAATATCAATGATACAGAACGGTTTATCTTTTGCGATGATGGAAAGCTGTTGAATGAGATGTATATAAGAAAAATTCAAATGTAAAGATATCATTGGTGCAGTTTAGTAACAAATGAGATGAATTATGTATAGAATTTTATAATCTATAGTTACGTGGCGGATCCAAAATTAAACAAGAGGCCCAGGGGCCACAGCGCTCACCTGACACATCGGGCTTGAATTTACTCCCCCCCCCCCCCCTTCCAGGCGTTCATCTTTTGAACAAACTAGAATCTACACTACCTGAGGATGATTCCATATAAATACCCCGGGTATCACTAATCATAGCTTTGAAGTACTTGTAAAGAAGATTTTAAAAGGTTTCCCTATATATCCCTATGTAAAACTTGGGTCGGCCATTTTGGCCCCACCCTATTCTCAGGGCCGGGGGTCATGATTTGAATAAACTTGAATCTAAACAACCTGAGGATGATTCCACATGAGTTTCATCTTTCCTGGCCCAGTGGTTCTGGAGAAGAAGTTTTTTAAAGATTTTTCCTATATATTCCTATTTAACCCTTGCCCCGGTTTTTATAGAGGGCCTCAAGGAAGAATAGTGCTCGCACTAATTGAGTCGCCCTCTTTAAATAAAGTATTATTATTATTATTATTATTATTATTAAAACTTGGGTCGGCCATTTTGGCCCCACCCTTGCCCCGGGGGTCATAATTTGAATAAACTTGAATCTACACTACCTGAGGAAGATTCCACATGAGTTTCATCTTTCCTGGCCCAGTGGTTCTGGAGAAGAAGATTTTTAAAGATTTTTCTTATATATTCCTATGAAAAACTTTGGTCGGCCATTTTGGCCCCACCCTTGCCCCAGGGGTCATGATTTGAACAAACTTGAATCTACACTACCTGAGGATGATTCCACATGAGTTTCATCTTTCCTGGCCCAGTGGTTCTGGAGAAGCAGATTTCCAAAGATTTTTCCTATATATTCCTATGAAAAACTTGGATCGGCCATTTTCGCCCCACCCTTGCTCCGGGGGTCATGATTTGAACAAACTTGAATCTACACTACCTGAGGATGCTTCCACATGAGTTTCATCTTTCCTGGCCCAGCGGTTCTGGAGAAGAATTTTTTTTAAAAAAATGCCATTAATCTTTAACAAATTCATGATTATCTCTCCTTGGGGAAGGGTGTGGCCCTTCATTTGAACAAACTTGAATTCCCTTTACCCAAGGATACTTTGTGCCAAGTTTGGTTGAAATTGACCCAGTGGTTCTTGAGAAGAAGATGAAAATGTGAAAAGTTTACAACGACTACGACGACGACGACGACGACGACAACGACAGACAACGGACAAATTTTGATCAGAAAAGCTCACTTGAGCCTTTGGCTCAGGTGAGCTAAAAAAAGAGATGGGGGGGGGGGGTATTTCACAAGTGGTTTTCTTCGATAAAAAATTCAGAAGAAAGAATTGTAATCAATCCTGAAACTATATTCGTAATTGTAAGTTGTGTTATAATGAAAATGGCTTAGTATTCAGGGGACCCTTATATAGGTGAATAAAACTCTTCATTGGACTTAGTGCGGCTAATATATACGATAAATTGTAACATTTTCAACATGTAACAAGTTCAAAAATTGCAGTGCACATCCGGAAATGAAATGCAGCGTAATCAGGCTTACCTGAAGTCTTTTAATGATATTAAAAACAGCATACATCTAATTAGTATGTCTTCTTTTGCCGTTATCTTTTAAATTATATTATTAGAAAAAAAAACATTATTAAGTGAAAGTTCAGGCATAATTTTGATTACGGAGTCAATGTGTCCGCACAGTAAAGTTATCCGCAAGGAAGATGGTTTTCTCAGTTCTTTAGGTATATTGAAATTGCAGGAGGGCGTGGCTCCATTATTCAGCGGGTAGTATTATTTTTTTAACAAATGTTTCTCGACGAATCAGA